CAGCAGTTGCTTGTCTGCCTGCTCTCTGCAGCTTATGCCCCCTGCCTTTACCGTCTGGTACAGTAACACCTGGAGTACATGAAAACTCTGGCCCCTGCCCAGCCAGTCACCAGTGGCACAGCACCAGCTCTGGGATGCTGCTGCATGGCTGGGCAGGGGGCATGCTATCATGTGCTCTGTGCCCTGAGAGGGAGTGGAACAGGAGCGGAGTCTGACAGGAAGGGGGCAGAGGCTGCAGGGGGGCAGGCTCCAAGGGGAATAAGGGGCAGGGGAGCAGAGGTGCTGCTTGTCCCCCTCCCTTTAGCCACCTGTCCCCTTACTACTGCTTTCTCTGTTGTAGCTGTGGGTGCATGGGGGTGTAATTTTAAGGTAATGCTCTAAATTAGATTCTGTGCCTGGAAAATTATAGGACATTTATACATTTTCCAAATATAGTTTAATTACGGGGGCATCATTTTTAAATTCAAAGGCATCTTAAATTTACTATTTTTTACTTGAATCCATCCGACCAACTGTCTCTTGCTTTAACTGATGCATGTTGCCTACCTGCTGAACTGAATTTCTCAGAAAGGTAACTTGATTGCATGCATTTCTTGAGTAAGGAAAATATATGAACTGTGAAGACAACACATGACTCAAGCAAAGTTAATGCTGATTTGAGCAAAATAATAGTTTTTGAACTTTAATTACTTAAAGTAGTTGTCACAGTCCCTGGATAATGATCTGTAGTTTGGAAACTTAGAATTCTCCCTCCTGGGGGTGTGGGATGTACCTAACAGATTTCCTGGAGCTGATCTATAATTATTCACCTTTCTACTAAAAATAAAAATAAATAAATCGTACCAAACCTGAGCTCTCACAGCTGCATTTCTTAGGGCTTTGTGTAGTGGCCTGTACTGTATGGGACCCTTTCACCTGAACTAGTAAATATCAGCAGTTCTGGAGTATGACTGCCCAGGCTGCAGAGAAGGACCTGGGAGTTTATGGTGGGTCATAAGCTAAGTGTAAGCCAACAGCATGTTCTTGTTGCCAAAAAAAGGCCAACAACATCCTAGGCTGTGTCTTTTTTTTACTGGTTTTTCTCTTGTAGTGGAACACAAATGTCTTCATGGGTCAAGACTTGACAGCTGACACTAAGGTTGTTTCTGAAGGAAATACTGAGAATTATCAGAGGCAACTTTAACTGCTCAGGCTGTTGCCTTGTGGTTTCCCTGCCAGTCTAATGTTCAGAGTCCAGTTCCCTGCTACTGCAGAAATTATTTAGTTCATGTACTTCTAGGAAACTGTTCCAGAACTACACTCTGATGCTTAGAAACCTTCTAATTTGAAGTCTAAAATTCCATAGCCAGTTCATACTCATTTGTTCTTGTGCCAGCATTTAGCCTTTCTTCACTGGTGGTCATTCCACTGGGTTTGTAGAAAGCAGCTGTACCTCTTCTCAGCCTTCATTTTGTTGGGTCAGTGCCTTCTCTTTCTCCCCCCAACCCAGCTGTATGATAAGCTTTGTTTCCTTGGGTGTTGCAGTTAGTTGTCTTTTCTGCATATGCTCCATTTTGCACTTATTTTCTTGTGTGTGGAGGTGTTTTCCAATAAGTTTGTACCAGGTCCTTGTTCAGTAACCTTAATGTTTCTATCTCTACTGGAAGTACCACGCCTGGTATGTCCAACGATTGTGTTTACCTGTTCTTGCAGCTGTATCACTGACTCACAGTTAATCACACAATGACTAGTGTGCCCCCTTCTTTCTCTTCAGCTGTTTCAACTGATCAGTTGACAGCTCAGACTGGAAATTCTTGTCAGTTCACAAATGCTAAACCATGCATTTTGTACTGCTTATTTCCAGCCTGTTTTACTCCAGGCTCCAACCTCCTTCAGTTTATCCCAGTTCTCCTTTGTATCGATAGGGCCTCCCAACCTGATTGGCAGCAAACTTCCTTAGCACTACTTGTGCCAAAGTCATTTAATGAAAGTAATTGGTACCACGACTGAACTCCACTAACTTCTCTCAATCCTGAGAAATACCCCTTTTGAGTACTACCTATTATTACAGACCTACCAAATTTAGGGCTGCTGCTTTCCAATTTTGTAGTTCAGTTATGGCATTGGACGCCACTTTTGTGGTGGAGCATGGCCAGCTGCCCTCCCCACACACCTCTGATTGGTCAAGGGGCCCTGGAAGTCCTGCCGTTCCCTGGAGATTGACAGATGTCCATCTGTCAATCTTTGGGGAGAGGTAGGACTCCTGGGGGAGCCCAAAACTGAATGCAGTGCTTCAGCTGCAGCTCTGGTGAGGCTGCAGCTGGAGTATTGCATCCAGTTTTGGGCTCCACAATTCAAAAAGGATGTGGAGAAGCTTGAGAGTCCAGAGAAGAGCCACGCGCATGATCAGAGGTCAGGAAAACAGACCTTACGACGACAGGCTGAGAGCCATGGGGCTCTTTAGCTTGGAAAAGTGCAGGCTCAGGGGTGATCTGGTGGCCACCTATAAATTTATCGGGGTGTTCACCAGGATCTGGGGGAATGTCTGTTCACCAGAGCGCCCCAAGGGATGACAAGGTCGAATGGTCATAAACTACTGCAAGACCATTTCAGGCTAGACAGGAGGAAGAATTTCTTTACTGTCCGAGCCCCCAAGGTCTGGAACAGACTGCCATCAGAGGTGGTTCAAGCACCTACATTGAACACCTTCAAGAGAAATTTGGATGCTTATCTTGGTGGGATCCTATGACCCCAGCTGACTACCTGCTCCTCGGGCAGGGGGCTGGACTCGATCTTCCGAGATCCCTTCCAGCTCTAATGTCTGTGAAGACTGTGAAATCCTTGGCCAGAGGATTGGGGGGTCCTGCCGTAATCCATCATAGAAGTCTTCCCCCCCCCCCCCCCGCATGCTTCAGGATGCCAGGGCTTCTCACCCTTTTTTTTTCTTTTTAGCAGCTCTCTTCCCTCACTTAGTCTTGCTGCCAATGTTGTGCCTTTTTGCACTTTGTGTGAATATCGCAAATTCGATAGGTCTCTACGTGTCTCCTCTTCTTCAGCCAGTTCTTATAGTTCCATGCTTCCATCTGTTCCAGCCTAACTAGTACGCACCCAGCAGCTCCTTATCAAATTTTGCTGCAACTTCATCTCTAGATCATAAAACTTAATCAGTTCCTGCTGAAATTATATCCAGCTCCCATCTTAATGCTGAAGCTGGTATCTGCCTTGCTTTCCTAGCGTAGAGCCTTGGGTAGAAGACCTCTATCAAAGCAGGCAGAGCTGTGACATGAGGTCAGCAGGCTCTCAATCACTGACTTTTGTAGGACGCACACCTTGCTGAGGTTATTTGACCCCAGCAGTCTTCTGCCCAGAGCAGGGGGGGCTGGACCTGATGATCACAGTCCTAAATTTCTGTGAACCTGTGGGGGGAGAGAGGATTAGAATTCATACTGGAGTTGTTTTAGATCAGGGTGGATAAAAATGGATTTTTTATTTAAATCGTATTTTATGATTTTAAGATGCTCTTCTTAAAAAAAATCTGTATAAAGATCATTTTAATTTAAAATATGTTTAAAGCTCAAAGATATCATCATGGAATAGGCTTCTAATGATATATTTAACTTTTTTAGAAAAAAAATTATAAATAGGTCACAACAGGCCATGGACTATATCAGGGGCCTAATCTTATGGGGTTCTCAGAGGCTCTTCTGTAGATTAGTAAAGATAAAAGAAAACCACTGTACCCAATAAGACTTGGTGCTCAGTCTAGATGATCCCATGAAGCATCTCTGTAATGCTTAGTTTCCATTCTCAAACTATGGATTTGTCTCCAGAGATAACATCCTTGTTAACAGCAGTATATGGAGATGAGCGATAACAGACTTGATTTCCTACCCACTAGCCCTCTTGTGTCTGCAAGTTTGTGTGGACACAGCCAAGGTCTTACCTCTCTAAAAGTGCAAAGTTTCAAGAAGTTAAAATGAATAGAGGGTATCGAACAACAAGAATGCACTTTTTGTAGCAAATGATTAAACTGAGGCTTCCTGACCAATGATTTAAATCATGATTTTAAATTATTTGATTTAAATCAAATTCACCCTGATTTTAGATTTGGATTGACAGGCCGGAAAGGATCTAAATTTGGTCTCAGTGTCCTGTATACTGTCATGTACCTCTTGTCTTTTTTTAAATGGGAAGGGTGGTGTTGGTGCAAACAATGAATCCCTAACTAAAGTGGAATGGTGTGAAATGACTTGATTTCCATCTCTCTGTATTTATGGTAACATAGCTATTGCATCAGTTACTTGTGTCAGCAGTTTCAGAAGTCAAATGATCCATATTTCTAATGCTTTTCAGTGTCCAGAGACTATCACATATCTTTGGTTAAAGAAATGGGTATAAAGTAGTAGTTCAATCAGGAGCCAGCAGAATTAAAGATCTTAAGTGGATTACCTTAAAAGTGATCAGCAAATGAGAAAGTCTTGTCCTCTCTCTCTTGCTTTTGAGAGAGTGCCTTCTGGAAGACCAATTGGGAAAACTAGTGAAATGGTGTCATCACAAGGGCTAAGGTTGCTGAGCAGTTGACTAAACCGTGGAAAGGTTTTAGAAAATCTTTTTAAACATCTGCATGATGTCGAGTTGCTTTTAGCTGAAAGCTTTCCATTCTTTAGTTTTTGCTCTTTCAGTTGAGATAAGTTTGATACCTTGAACTCCTCAGTTCTTATGCAAGAAGCTGAATATTTCACATTTTTAAAGTCAAGCACAAGAGAATATAAGCCAGTTCTCAATTTTTTTCATGCAGGCCACCTCTTGGAAAACTGCAGAGGGGTGGCATTGTGTAGTCAAAAGTTTGACAGACAGAGGGCTTGTCTAAAGTAAGGAAGTTCTTATTTATTTAGCTCTGCATTTAGCTTTCCTGCTAAGGTCTTTAATGTAGACAGGACTCCACTGTCCATTTCCTTTATTACCCTGTCAGTTGAACTGCTTCTCTGTGTACAACTCTGGCAGTTCTGACAAATGTGGCATGCCACTCTTAAAGCATGGCTGACATTTCTTTCTTTCTTCCCCTAGGAATAGACTTCAAGATCAAAACAGTTGAATTACAAGGAAAGAAGATCAAGCTACAAATATGGTAAGTGACATCCCATGGTAGTTTAGCTGAACTAAACTACATATTGGTCTCCATTTGAGTAACGCTGAAAATGTCTTGTTTGAAGTATCTCAGAAAGATGGGAGGGATAGCAGATGATGTTGAATGAATCTTACAGGCAAAATACCTAAATTGAGATCACTACCAGTCTAATTCCACAAATGCATTGTGTATTTCCACTGGTAATGAAGATTAACAGTTACCTCTGTTAAATGACAGCAGTGCTAGGAACTGGAAAAATGAAGGGTTTTTTTTTTTAAGTTTTAATTGGTAACAATCAGTATAACACTATTAAGTCATGCTGTTCTGATTTTGAAGAAAATAGGGCCTTAATTTTGGTGAAAGTTGCAGGGATTGTCTCTGGGGAAAAATAGTGTAGTGTTTCAGTGGCCTGTTTTAAGATGTGAATGCTTAGTGCATGCTTCTTTGGGAATATATTTAAAGTTATGATTTCTAAATAACCAGAAGTCACCAAGATGCCTTGTCAGTCAGAGGTGTAAGTACAGAGGACAGGAGGGGTGATTGACTGGGGATATCATAGGTGACAGCTTCACCTTGGCCATGACCTTCATGGCAGGACACACCCTCCATAGATTAACCCAGGTATGGAGACAAGGGTTGTCCCAAAACTTTTCCCCACGTTGAGGAAAATCGCACTACACCACTGTGATCAGCTATGAATTTATGGAAAATAAGTCTCTCTCTTCTGGTCAACGTGTATTGAACAAGTAAGGCTGACGGCACAATAGAAGTCTTGTAAATTCTTGGTAATGCAGAAGACAAATGTTGCAGGTCTTACCAGTGTTACTGAGATGCATGCTCGATGTCTTATCATTAGGACTGCAGCTTGCTGGCTTGGACTGGTATCTATCCCAGTTGCAGCCCCCAAAAGTTCTAGGACCTTCTTGTCAACCTCTTCCTCCTGGGCCTGGCCAAAATATCAATTGACCAGATGAGGAAGGAAGTGCTGTCTGGAGGGAACCCAGACACCTGTGGGGCTGTTTTCCTTCCTTTATCTTGGCTGGGCACCTCTCCAAGCAGAGTTTCACAGGCTTCTTAGATAGGTTCATGGGGCAGTGGATGCTAGCCTGGAGTTCTCTGCTCAGTGTCCTCCCTTGGCACCTTAGTTATGAACCTATAACTAGCACTCCTGTTCCTGTTTTTTCTTGTGATTTGTCCAGTGGAATTAGTTGTTGTACATGCTAGTAGCCTCCATCTAGCTATGGGAGGGGTGGGCTGGTGGTTTTGTAGTACCTGGAGGGCCTAAGGTCATTGCCAGCGTGTAACAAATAGACCTGCCTTTCACAGGTGACAGTGGCATAGAATGGATACTGAGAGGGGAGGGTGGTTGGGGCATGTCCAGAGTTTCCCCTGCCTCTCTCCCATTGCAGCTTCACTGCACTTGCAAGTATAACTTCTAAGCATTATATAATTAGTACAGATTACTGTGAAGGGATGCATTCGTTTTCTCTCTAATTGGCTGTTGAGCTTGTACTTCAGCCTCCAGCACGAGCATTTCTTCTACCTTGGAGAACTCATAACACCAGCAGTCTCTCCCAGTGCTTAAAGAAGGGTGTTTGTGCCCGAAAGCTTGCAAAGAACTTTTTTCCACCTATTTGGTTGGTATAATAAAAGATACCACATGTACCTAAAGAACCTTGCCTGCCTGTGTTCCTAGACCAACATGGCTACAGCCATCAACCCTGCAGCCTCCAACATGAGCCTTTTTAAACTGTTGTTGGGAATGACTTACTGGCTGCTGGTATGTTCAGTTTTAGTAGTGCTCACAGTGGGTGGAGGTTCCTGATAACCACACAGCACCCTTCCCTGGGTCATCTTGTTGGCACTCCCTTCTTGTAGCTAGGTCCAGCTAGGAGTGGGAGCATTCCCAGCTCCTGCATTCAGATTACCAGTCTGCTTACTTCCCACACTTGTAGTAAAGCCTTCACTGAAGGAGAACTCGATTCTCCAGCTGAAGGTAAACTCCATGCCTTATCTCTACGTCCCTATTCTTGTTACTGTTCCTGTTTTTATCTTGCGGCCTCTGCGACAAAGCCCTTGTTCAGCATGGATGTTAATCACTGTCTTCTGCTATGGAAACCTGACCAGCTTTGTGCTGGAGTTTGCAGGTATAAACTCTTATATTGCAATTTACCTTAGATGAGTGAAAAGAATTAATGACTCTGCTCTCAAGATTGCTGGACATGTCATAGCAATGTGTGAAGTTGGTACTTGCAGCATCTTTGTTGCCACACTGCCTGGAGGCTAGCCTGAAAGAAGTCTTCTCAAGTTCTCCCATATCTAGACATTCATCCTGATGCAGTAAAATGGCCTGAATAGTTGACCTTGTTCATTTAATGTATACAGTATCTGAGCATTGCTTCCTACCTGTGAACATACAGTGCTTCTTTGTGTCCCTATCTTGTAAGAACACCTTTTTTAATACATCTGAAAGATAATTGGGTCAATGGCATTAAATAGTAGTGTATTTTTTTTCTTCCTCTAAAGGGGAGAGTTTCAACCTGGTGGGTGGGGAAATTGCCTCTAATTCAGTGAATTAGAGATTAGCATCTTCATACTAAAAACAAAGCTAAACTGCTGGTTTTGGCAGTAGCATTATCACATGGCTTTAGGAGCTGTTAAACAAGCAGATACAGAAAGTATCTCTGTAGAAGAAGAAATTGAGCAAGGATCATCTGGGTCCTGCTATAATGAGCACTTTTAATGTAGGAGAAGTAAAGACTTCCTTCAGTTTTGCAGATGATGTGAACTGAAATACTAACTTGACTTACTGAAATTTGAAGAACAGGCAACAAAAAGCAAATTATGAAGATGCTAGCTGGTATGTTCTGGATTTCCCCTGAAGTATACTCATTAGGAAAGGAAACACCTGTAGAATGGTGATGAAAGAGAACCTAGAAACAGTGAAGTGTAAACTAGATGTGGGTTTGTAATATTTCAGTGCAGTTAAGACTGAGCTCTGTATGCAGCCCTTACAGGTAACAGTGGTAGTCCCACAGGAAAGCTCTGAACTAATTCACATCTGGACACTTAATGATACCTTGCAGGGAGTATAGTGCAGAGCACCAAAATCTCAGCTCCTGGAAGAGCATTGACCAAAATAAAAGAACATAATGGAAAGCAGCCTCCCTGGATGGGTTGTGATAGTTTGGCTGCCACCAAGACCTGTCTAAAATGTGAGCTGCATATCCAGTTCTAAAGTAGATGCCAAGCCCTATTCGTTAACTGTTCCCTCCAGAGGCACCACTACCAATGATCACAATGAGATGGGTATAATAAAGTAGTGGGAAGATTGTCTTTTCAAGGGAAAATTAAGACCAAGCATAAGGAAGAATCTTTAAGGTAAACTAAATGTGGGAGGGTATAGCTATATGGAAAAGAAGCAGCTGTATAAGACTCAAAGCAGTGTTACTTAGTAGTTTAGAGCAGTGGACAGCAACACATGGCCCACAGGTCGGATGCAGCTTAGAGAGCCTCAGGGCTTTTCTTGCACTGGGGCTGAGCAGTGAGGAGCTGCACCGGCACTGGGGCTGGAAGCTGTACCCATGCCACTGCTGCTGCTTTACATTTCCTGAGCCCCACTCTGCCTCCTTCCCTTCCCACCCCAAGGCCTGCTGCGGGGTAGGCACAGCTTACAGCCAGAGGGGAGCTGCACTGGGACAAGGGACCTGGATCCCAGTACAGCTCTGTTCTGTGTGAAAACTATACCTGGACCACGACTAAGGATTAGGGGCTGGGAGAAGCAGTAGTGATGTGGGTGCTGTGCTATGGTTGAAGGGCTGGAAACTACTTCCACACTGTTATTGCTGCTCCCCATCCATCTGGGCTGCAGTGCAGCTCCCTGTACCAGGAGAGACTAAAAAGGCTAGGACTGCTCAGTTTGGAAAGGAGATGGCTGGGAGGCTGGATATTATAGAGTTCTGTAAAATCATGAAGGGTGTGGACTAAGTGACCAGGGAGCTCTTGTTCACTAAGTCCCAGAATACTAGAACTATGGGGCACCCACCTGAAATGAGTAGATGATAGGTTTAAAACTAACAGAAGAAAGTAGTTGTAGTTAACTTGTGGAATTCACTGCCACAGGAAGTGGTGGAGGCACAGAGTGCAGACAGGTTCAAAAAGAAACTGGATAAATTCATAGTTTCTAGGGTCGGAAGGGACCTGAGCAGATCATCTAGTCCAACCCCCTGCCATGGCAGGAAGAGCACTGGGGTCAAATGACCCCAGTAAGGTGGTCATCCAACCTCCTCTTAAAAACCCCCAGGGTGGGAGCCTGCACCACCTCACTTGGAAGCTGGTTCCAGACCCTAGCCGCCCTGACCGTGAAGTAGCGCCTCCTGATGTCCAACTTAAACCTTCCCTCCGCCAGCTTGTGACCATTGTTCCTGGTCACTCCTTGCGGCGCTCGGGGGAACAGGGACTCCCCCAGCGCCTGCTGATCCCCCCTAACCAGTTTATAACAGGCCACAAGATCCCCCCTCAGCCTTCTCTTTTGAAGGCTGAACAGGTTCAGGTCCCGCAACCTTTCCTCATAGGACCTACCCTGCTGTCCCTTGATCATACGAGTGGCCCTCCTCTGGACCCTCTCGATGCTGTCCACATCCCTCTTAAAGTGCGGCGCCCAGAACTGGACGCAGTACTCCAGCTGCGGCCTGACCAGTGCCGCATAGAGGGGGAGGATCACCTCCTTGGACCTGCTCGAGATGCATCTGTGGATGCACGACAAGGTGCAGTTGGCCTTCCTAGCCGCCTCCCCACATTGCCGACTCATGTTCATCTTGGAGTCAATAATGACTCCCAGATCCTTTTCCACCTCCGTGCTGAGTGTTCATGGAGTGTTGCTCTATTTAATGGCAATTGAACAGAGTGGTTGGAGACGTTTCCACTGGCATCTTTAATCCAATAAATAGTGGGTGCCAGGAAGGGTATTGAATAGGGGATAGATCACTTTAGGGATATCT